AACTCCAGAGACTTAAAATGGTTATTCGGGGGGGAAAAGAAGGAGTTGTAGGCCTCAGAGAGGAAAAGTGACTTGCCCCAGCTCTCTCAAAGAGAGGATGGCATAACCAGTCCAGGAGCCCAGCCCTGGGGCACTTCCTGTCCTGAAGCTGTATCTCCTTTCACAAAGCAAAGCCCTGGCAGGCAGTGGCCACAGTATTTCACTTTAATAATGTTGGAACCCAGTACAGTCAGGGCCACCAGTGATGGGGTGGGAGCCTCGATGGCGATTAGTGGAGCTGTAAGTCTTCTGCTTTATCCAAATCTTGGGCAGTAATTTAGAAAATTTAATTAAAGGGGGAGAAATGGGGACACCTCAAGCTCCCTGCCTCCTGTTATAATGAGTGAAATACACCGGGCTGTAAAAGGAAATGCTGTCTGAGACGCAGCTCTGATGTTTTATTGCCAAGTTTTATTCGCTGATGTAAACGTAATCGCTGGAAACCGGAGCTCTATTAATGCACATATTTTCACACATCCGGGGCCCCGCCTGCCCCCTCCTTCATTCTCAGCTAGTTCACCCACCTCCTAGGGTCAGTCCTGGTGCTTTCTGGGCATGTCTTTGCCAAGTCTGGTTTTCCCTGCCGGTTTCATATCCTCCTGTGGCAGATAAGACTTTAATAGAATTCCATTGCTCCTCAGAGCTCAGTAATGCATTCTGAAAATTAGGCGGCTACATACGAAAGCCATTGTTCCCCCTTATAAATGGGCTTGCTTGAAGCCAGTGACCGTGGGGTCTCTGATAAGCTCTCATGGAGCCTCGCTCCACATGTTATTGGTGTGTTAAAAGGTACGACTCTGGGCTTACATTGCTCATTGTTAGGGGCTGATACATTTAAGTAGTTTCTCCATGAATCAGACAGCTTAGGTATTTCCCCCCTCTTGGCATTGATAGATGAGAGAGAGGAAGCCATTTAGACGGTGCTCTATAAGGGCCCCAGCCCACACGGTGAATGATTTCCAATGCCTAGTTTAATTTATTTTTAAATGAAATTTGTTATTGATTCTGGATTAAAAGGACAAATCTTACGGCTGTTACTACTGACAGAACCACAGTGCTCAAGTGACACCTTTCAAGGAGGGGAGGGAAGGTGGCCTCCCAGAGTCAAGGGGAGGGTGCAGACTCTCCAGGGAGCTCAGTCAGAGGCAAGGGGCATGCAAGATCTCCTGCTTGCGGGGGGGCACTTTAAAATTGTCATCTTTCCCAGCTGAAATACTTGACATGGTGTTCACCTCCTGAGCCTCATTTGTGTAAGGGAAATAGCAGTGATATTTGCTTCATGGCATCCACATGCCTGCTAGATGCTTGTTTAGTTACCCCTAGGGATGGGAGGCTTACTCTTCCCTGGAGCATTCCCAGAGTGAAATGAGTGATTAGAGTCAACCACCCTAGTGTATTTCTTGGATAGTCTTTGGTTACCTTCTGCTTCCACTTTACTCTTGGTTGCCACGGTGTCTGAGGTTTGCATTTGGATTGCTGAAGCAGACTGAAGACAGGTATGTGAGGAAGGAGCATGGCTTGGAGATCAGTCCTTCCCATCCAGCTCTGCGCCCTCCTACTGTGCAACCTTTGCCTCTCTGGGCTTCAGTTTCTTCATCTGTAAAAGAAGAAAGCTAATAGTATTGGCCTTGGGACGGTTGTCATATGAATTACATGAAATTATAGATGTGAAAGTGTTTTGTAAACTGTAAAGTGAATTTTAGGTAGGGAGTGAAGAAAACACAAATGGGACAGTGTTTTCGAGTAGGAGAGACCTGAGATGGGAGACAAAGGACATGGGTTGATGTGTGGTAAGCAGCTGTGTGACCCCAAGGAAGCCACACATCTTTTCTGATTCTTATTTTCCTAAGCTGTAAGGAGGGTAGGTTGAGTTAGAGGTCCTTCGGGACTGTTCCTGAGAGCAGAGATTCTTTGAAATATCCCTTTCCATTGTTGCCCTCCTGTGAGCAGGACACTTACTCTTTCTGAAACTATTTCCCTTGTCTTAGATAACAATAATAGTCAACATGTATCATGTTATTGCCTATGTACCAAGTACTGTTTTAAATACTTTCTTTGTGGCAATTCACTGAATTCTCACAATAATCTTGGGAAGGACATATTATTATCCTTATTTTATAGCAGAGGAAACTGAGAAGGGCTAACCAACTTGTCGTCTAAAGTAACACAGCTAGGGGTGCCTGCAGGTTGGTTCAGTTGTCTAAAGTGCCTTCTTGGGCAAACTCAGGAGCAGGGGATTGCAGTTTGATCCCCAGCACCACATGCTGCACCAGATCCTCCCTTAAGGCAGCCTGGACTAGGAAAAAAAAAAAGTCCCTCTAAAGTAACACAGCTAGGGCTGGCGAGATGGCTCAGTGGTCTAAAGCCCCTACTTAGAACAAGCTTAGCAAAGCACAGGGACCACGGTTCAATCCCCCAGCACCACATGCCAGCCAGCCCTGCCCCCTGGTGGGCTGAGCTGGCCACACACACACACACACACACACACACACATAAATAAATAAATAAAATTTTAAAAAAATAAAGTAACACAGCTAATGATGGCAGAACATATAGGTAGAATTCAAATTTGTGACATGTTTCTGGGAACACAATGAGGAAATAGAGACTTGGAAACCAGGAGAAGGCAGCAGATATTCTCTCCCATGGGGGGCTCAGGCTGAACTTTGGGGACTTAGCTACACAGAGGGAGTAGGCATACAAGCAAAAGAGAAGCAAGGAGGGTCAGGACATAGTGAAGAAGGGGCATGCTCAGGGAGGGAACAGTGACCAGGGCACAGGGTATGGACAGGAGGGAAGACTGAGACCTTGAATACAAACTAGAGAGGTCAACGTTTCTCAAATAGATATGGCATCAAAGGGTTTCCAGTAGAACTGTTACATCATGAGCCCTTCCAAAATCATGTAATCCCTAGAGGTTCATCCTTGAAGGAAGCTTTGAAGTTCTGAGACTTAACCTTGTTCCAGTCAATGAGGAGAAAAGATTCCTGAAAGTCAGCCAGAGGGTCAGCGGCCAAGCAGCAATATGCTGCCATTTTCCCTGGCCTGTTCCCTCTGCAGCTCCTACACAGATAGTTGTTTACACCTCTCCTAATCTCCCTCTCCTTGTACTCTTTTCTTTGTCCCAACCTTCCAATCTGGTTTATGAGGAAAAAACCTTGGGCTTGAGCCCTGAATCTGTCACCACATTCTCCTGGAGAGATATTATGCTGGATTTGAAAGAAACTTGGTTTCAATCTTAGCACTTCTTGGTGAGATCAAAGATTCTCATTTTTGTCACCTTTATAATGGGAATGACAACATCCATTTCTTTGGGAAGATAGTTAAGTGAATTAATGATTGGGTATATGTTCTTATAGAGTCTGAGGCTCCTGATCACCTCAGGATAATCTAATATCACGTTTGTGGGGGGAAAAAAAGTAAAGTGCATTAGTAGAGCAAAAAAAAAAAGTCCTTCTCTCCTGTGAGTGTGTCCCAGGAGCAGGGAGTGACTGGGAGCCCTGTCCATGGTTCTGAAAGGAAGGGCTGCGTCGTGTGAGCCGGTGCACTGTCCGTGGTACCCAAACATTATCTACACGTGTGACATTGGAGCTAGGGCTGTTCTCAGTTTTAAGGAAACTGGATCGTTGCGGTGACCAAAGGCCCCGTCCAGTGTGTTGGTCACCATGATATTGGGTGGTCAGGGAGAAGAGAACAAGAAAGCAAAGTCCCACAGGCTTTACCGCGTTCTTCAATTCAGGGTACTGTCCACAGTGCTGAATGCTGGGTGCGCCTGTGTTCCGGAGTGAAGAGCGGGCGTTTGCTAAGCCTATCCTTTTCGGAGAAAGACCGGAAGATCTGTCCGCGGTGCTGAAACATCACAAAAAGCCTGCATGATGGTGAAAAGATGGGCGTCAGGATAAGAAGGGGGTTGGCGCTGTCCTCTGTGGTTCTGACACAGCGTCAGACAAGGGCTGAAGATGGGCAGGAGATTAGACCAGAGAGAACTCTACTGCACGGTAGACAGGACCCTGGCTCCGTACCTCCATGGGACCTCGGAGAAACTGTTCTCTCTGATTTAAGATGCTTCTGATCTTTTAAATGAGCCACAAGTTCTCCTTCCTTCCTGAGGGTCTGGCCAACAGCGCCAGTAAAAGGGCCAGGGAAAGAGTCAGAGTATCTCTTTGGACTCCTCTGCAGAATGGGAGTGGCTCATGCACATTCCCCTAGGCTTCTGCCCCGGGAAGGAAACCATACAGCCCAGTAGGGGGCGATGCAATTCACCGAGTAGGGCCCAGCATCTTTAAACAGCAAGGAGCCTAACCAACTGAGCTCTTACTCCTATTATGTAGGTGGGAAAACTGAGTCCTAGAGAGGAGAACGACAGTAATTATCCAGGCGGCGTGTCAGTGGCTTTATGTTCGGCCCTCTGCATTCCTAACTTCTCAAATCCTCATCACTGCCCCGGAGATAGCTGTCGTTTCCCATTTCTCAAATGAAGACCTTGAGATTCACACATGGGCATGGTCACACGGGGACTCAAAGGCTTTGGCAGAGCTCTAACTGGGCTCTGGTGTCTCAGCCTAAGCTCCTTCCCTGCCTCGCCCCTCCTCCCCTTCTGCCCCCTGACCCCTGCACTGGGTGCCAACAAAGTTGCAGCCTCCTTCTCAGCGCGCTGGGTCTACCTGCAGGTGGAATGATCTTTCTCCTTATTCCTGTTGGATAGTATTTTCTGTTTCTGAACCCAGTTGTATTATGCTTTCCGGGAACCAGGCGACCGGGGTGGTCTCCTCCACCCCTTGCCGCCCCCAGCCCCCGCTCTCAGGCTAGGGGGGAAGTTGCGAGTACCTCTTTAAAAATCCCAGCCTGGGCAAAACTTTGATGATAAATCAAGCGGCAGATCCCTCCGCCGCTGCCTCCTCTGGGCGGGCGGGAGGCAGAGGGAGGGGGGGTGCGGCACGGCGACGCCGAGCGGAGTGGCCTTCCGCGCAAGGGAAGAGTCCCGCAGTCGGAGGCGGCCGGCTGGGCGTGCACTCGCTGCCCGCAGCCAGGGCTGGGCCGGAGGCGGGCGAGGGCTGGGACCCGGGTCGGGCTGGATCGAGCGGACAAGGGAAAGCGGCCGCAGTCAGGTAGCCAGGCCGCACCGAGCGAGGGACCGCGGGCGCGGGGTCTGCGGGCTCCAGAGCCCCGATGTGAGGCAGCGGCGCCCCCAGCCGGAGCGCACACCATGGGGGCCCCGCTCGCCGTGGCGCTGGGCGCCCTCCACTACCTGGCACTTTTCCTGCAACTCGGCGACGCTACGCGACCCGCCAGCCATGCGCCCTGGGACAACCACGTCTCTGGCCACGGTGAGTTCGGTCGCCGCCCCCACGGACTTCCCTACCAAACCCCACCCCAGGTTTCTCTGCTCCAACTTGGCTGTCGTGGGGCTCGAACCCTTGCTACCCAAGGTAGGTGTGCTGGGGCGCCCCCTGTTGGACCTACAGATCTGCCCTGGAATCCTGGCTGGTTCTGCGGAGGGAGCACCCGGAGCGCACCCCCACTCCCGCTTTTACGGAAAAGCCCCCACGCCTTGCGCGCACACACACATACTCAGGCAGAAACGCACCTCCATGTCTACACAGAGGTCCACAGCCACGTTGGCTGCTTTCTCACAACTCCTGCCCTCACACATCTTCACACACCTTGCCAGATCCCCTCACTCAAATACTCACACTTACGCCCACCACACACACACATGCACACACACACATCAGGCACCACTGTGCTGATGGCTCACACCCTGCCAGCTGGCACCAAGGCACACATGCTTTGCCACAACTCTTGCCTGTCTGCCTGCAGACACACACACACACACACACACACACACACACACACTTGTGCATACACTTGGTCCACCCACTCCTCTCTGCCCATCTGTTTTTCCCCTTTGTGGATTTACCCCAAGGGCCACTTTTGTGCCCTTCCTTTCCACCTTGCCCTTTATACCACTGGGAATGGTCCTCTGGGACCTGCTAGCCTGGGCTGCCATCTCCCCTGTCATGTGGGTGGCAAATGATGGATGCAGGCATCTTAAGAGCCCCTCAAAGATACTGGAGTAGTTGAGGTTAGCGCTTGCAGCCAGGGGTGTGTGAGGGAGAGGGCCACCTGGTGCTTTTGTCTGTTTCTGGGGCGAGTGGGAAGGTGCTGCTCTCCTGTAGAGTACCCATCCTCATCATGAGCTCCAGAGGACCAAATTGTGGGAAACCTCAACTCCAACCAAGCAAGTGTTGGGACCTGGGAGCAAGCAAGTGTTCCTGGCACTGTTTGCCCAAGTGTCAGAAGCTCCTTCTGCCCCAGTGGAGCCCAAGTTGGCAGCAGAGGTGTGTGTCTGAGGCAGGCAGCTGTGGGGGCTCCCTCAGCCTCTGTGCGCCAGGCTTTGGGGTGGGGGCCAGAGCATAGGTGACACCAGAAGAGACCCTGCTCTCTGCCTTCTCTTACCCACTTGGTCTTGGGGAAGGTGCCAGGGCTGGGCACTCGTGCCCAGGGCTGGGGGGAGGTTCGAACAAAGGGCCAAAAGGAGGGATTTATTTCAGTGGATGGGGGGGTAGATAATCAAGGAATCTTGCTAGATCATGAAGCTCACAAAGACTGAGTGGGATGGCGCTGGGGAGGCAGCTTCCAAGTTGTTCTCAGGGTCTCTGCTTTGAGGTACCACCAGGTCCCTGCACCTTCCTGCCTCACCGTGTTTGACAGCACCCGCTCTGTACGGTTTGTCACCCTTTGAGTCTTTCACCTCTTTTGACTGAGACTTGGCTGGAGCGCTGGCAAATAGGGAAGGTATTATTTTGGTCCTTAACTTACAGATAGGGAAACCAAGGCTCAGAGAGGTGACAAGAGCTGCCCAAGGTCACGCAGTGAGAAGTTGAGCCAGGACAGGCCCCAGGGGCTGACAGGAAAAGACAGCACTTCGCCCAGGACATTCATCTCCCTGTCAGATTCCCTCCCATTCAAGGGAAACTGGGAATTCCTTCCCCTCCCTCCCCTCCTCGCTTGCTCAGTTCCTTGGCACAGTTGGAACTTGCACTGGGAGGGTTTTCCAAGGAAAGACTTCCCTGAGTTTGCGGTCCAGGCATGTACAAGCACTAGAGCTTGGAGGTTTCTGACCATCCTGTCCCTAGGTGGTGGAATTTGGGTGCCAGTCTGTCATTCCCTGGGAAGCAGGTTGTACCTTTTGTGTAACAGTCTCTGCCTGCCCCCTGGTGACAGATCTGCTGAGGGGGCACAACCCCCCACCATAATCACCTTTGGTATCCTGAAGGTCCATCTGAGGCCAGGGGAGGGGCTGGTTGGGAAGAGACAGCACCAGCTGCTGGGAATTCTGGTTTCTCTCCTGACCCCCTGTGCCTCCTTGGCTAAGAGAGTCACCCCCTCAGGGACTCCCCCTCTGTTCCTCAAAAAACAAGGAGGCTGGGCTGCTCCACAGGGGCCAGGCTGCCTTCCCCTGACATTGCCAGGTTTAAAGTCACCAAGTAGTGGCTGCTGAGGAGCCCCCTGCAGCTACCCCTCTGCCAGGCCAAGCACCCGCCACCACAGGAAGGGTTTGGAGCCACTCACTTAATCACTAAAAGAAACTGTTATTAATGATAGTGAGACGCAGCGAATAAGTGGGTCATGTCTAATAAGCCATTTGTGTTCAGGAGGAGAATACCAATTTGATAAAAGCTGTGTGTGCTGAAAATGCTCAGAAATTGCTGTTTAGCAGATTGGAGCCTGATCATTTCATTATTCCTGGGCTCTGAGTGTCCTCAGCTGATTCAGGAAATGTGGCCAGGTCAGGAAGGTGTCTCAGTGTCTCGATGTAGGGGGTGTGGGCTGGGAAGGAGCCCGCTGACCCCAGGTGCGTGTTGGCTGCTCAGCGTTCGTTCGTGCTGCATGTGAGCCTGGTCCAGTCACCCGCTAGCACCTTCCGCCCACCTGCCCTGGGGCTTGTCACAGGCAGAGCCTGCGGTCAGGTGGGTCAGCAAGGACATCTGTTTCACTTTCCCTTTCCCTCCTACCTCCACTCAACTTGCTTTGAAGAGGGCTTTGTGACCGTGTGGTGCCCTGCATGGCTGTCCAGAAGGTGACAGGAATGGGGAGGAATCTGGATGGTAATGCTCAGGTAGTGCACCTAGGATTGTGCAATAAATGGCAACTGTTTTGATTTTCCTTATTCAAAAGGAGCCCAGCAGGGGGTGGGGGGAGGAAAGGGAATTGACATTTATAAGGTGCTCACCATGTCCTGGGTGCTGCAAGCCACTTATTGGTGTGAACTCACTTAGGCCAGCATCCTGCATGTCAGGCTGGTTTTAGACACATGAGGAAACCAGGGTTCAAGAAGGATCAACGACTTATCGAAGGTCACTGAGTCTGTGCCAGGAGCTAGAGCCATGCTTGGGAGGCAAGTGTGCCCAGCAGTTCTGGCTGCCTCCACGAGGACAGACTTAAGACGAGCTCAGCTCCTTCCAGTGACAAACTTCGTCCTCTGTGTAGCCCTAACCCAAGTGCACTTCCTTACAGCTTCCCAGGCAACTGCTAAAGCTGTGGGTTTCACCAGAAAGAACTGGTGACTCAGAGAGGTGTCAGGACCTTGCTGAGTCCATGTGCAAAGCACTCCTAGATCTAGCCCAGGGCAGGGGTCTGGAAGGCAGGCTCTTTGTGAGCATCTTTGCAAACCCACTACCTCAGAGTCCCCAGAGTTTCTTATAATGCAGATCCTCAACACCAATTGGCCAAAAACAATTATGGGAAGGACCCAGGAATCTGCACTTTAAGAAGCTCTGCAGCAGATTCTCATGCAGTCTAGTGTTAGGGAGCTGCCTCTTAAAGTATTCACCTATTGACCACCATGGAAGATGTAGGGATGGGAATCGCCTGGTGCTAGGGACAGGCTTGGTTTGAGTTTGCAAAGGGTGATTAGACTGGAAAGGTATATGGACCCTCAAAGGAACCCTGAGAAACCTCATACTGCAGCACACACACACATACACACACACACACACACACACACACACACACACACCTAGACCAGCACCTTCAATTATTAATACACCAATGCAGACAAAGACCCTGGCTTGGCCTGGTGCTTTGTCCACTGAGTGATTCACTGTCCCAAGGTTCTGTGTGTTGCCAGAAGGGAACAGCAGGGTGCGCCAGGAGGAGGGGGCACTGGGCCATTTGGCAAGCAGCCTGAGCGCTGAAAAATGACTCTGGCTTCCTTGTGTTCCTTACCGAACTGTTGGTATCTCACCATCAATAAGCCAGCTGGTTTGGTGGCTGGAAGATGGAGAAAATTGAGTCCTGTCTTTTGAAGGTTATGATGTTAAAAATGTGTTCGCCTTTTGTCTCAGGCATTGGTGATTATTCTATCAATTACGCCTGTAAACACTCCGCCTTGGGCTGAGGTTTTCCCACCTCCTGTGGGGAATTGGCCTCACAGGCAGTTTCCCCAAGTCCTTTGAGCAGATTAGTTTTGACATCTTGCCCATCAGCCACTCCCATAGTCTTTTCCCAAGCAAGGGGAGCCTCGGGTAGCCTGCAGGGTGCAAGGTACTCTGCTCTTTGCCATGGTGACAGTAAGGGTGGTAGGCAAAGTCTCTGCCTGGCAAACAAGCAGTCGGGTGAGGGGAAGCCAAGCGTATGGCCCTTTCTGACCTGCCAACCATGGGGCAGGAGATAGAACCCTTAGAATGAATGGCACGGCCCTTCTGAGCACCTTCCAAACTCCTCTCTTCCAGAGGGGAGGCCTGAGGCCCAGGACAAGGGTGCAATTCCCCAGAATGCCTAGGAGGCCTCTGATTGACATTTGGGAATCTTCAACTCTGCACACATAGAAGGATAACACAGAGAAGTACCTATCTACTGAGCATCACACCAGCACTTACATAAATTGTCCCATTTGATCTTTATTAGACCTCTGAGAAGAGGGGCCTGTTCTAGGTCCAGTGTATGGAGGAAGAAAATGAGGCGCAGATACCTGACAGGTATTAGAGCCTGAGTCTGATCCAGAAAACTGGCTCCACAGTCAATACTCACAATGCTGTTGAGGCCAAGGGAGGAGAAAGGAGGAGCCCAAGGTCACACGGGAGGGCAGGCAGGGACCCAGGACTTGGTTTCCTGATGACTTTATCACGTTCCACACCCCAGGTGGCTGGGCAGCAGAAGTGGCAGCCTGGCGGCAGAATCGCCCACTCCCCTCAGGGGTAAAAAAGAGGGTGGGGAGAGAGGCAGTCCCCAGGATGAACAGTGTGGTTCTTGTAGCAGACCTCAGAGAAGAGCAATGCAGGATTGGAAACCCATTTCTGGGTGCTTGGCCATTGCCTGGGAC